TGTCTCTTTGCGTCATGTTCAGAGGGGAGAAGGAATTCCTTTCTCCTTTTCTAAGGCAAGCTGCTGGTATTCTTGTTCTATTTAGAAATCTGGTGTAATGCAAGAACTCGCATTGACACATTTGTTCATTTCCCCATTACAGACTCAGTAAAAATGATGGAATCTATTGCCAAAACAAATTTCTATTTGTCCATCCCTTTGTCAACCCAGTCCCTACATGTGTACGGAGCCCCCAGGTGCACGGGGGAGGCGCAGGTGGGAGGGCAGAAGCTAGCATCAAAGCTGAACTAAAGGTCGCGGGCCAGCAGTCGGGCCCGGGCGGCTCAGAGCCACTGAGCGTCTACACTGCCTTGATGATGATTCGTCCTTTAATACTGGAAATGGGAAGCCCTGCTCAAGAAAACAGACAACCACAGAATGGCCTCAGGACCAAGGTCCCTGGGCAGTCCTCCAGCCGCTGACCCACGAGGCCCAAGGGCACCAGCACCCACCCCAGGAGTCTGAAGGGCACACGCAGCGCTTCGGGGGTGGCCGGCTGTGGGTGCTGGTTGCACTCCCGGTGGAGTCACAGCTTGTCATTGGTCATTTCTAGAAACTGCGTAGACGTCCCGGATGCACTCCCCCTTGGGGTTGAATAGGAATTTGTAGTAGCTGCCGTCTGCACAAATCACAATGACGGCATTTGGCTCTGTTCCAAAGGCATAGATGCACGGAGAGCCTGAGGGAACCTGAAACTAGACTGTTTATTCCCTTTTGGATCTTCGGCAGCAAAAATGTGCACTGTGCCGTGGTCACTGGACACACAGATGAGGGAAGCGTCTGGATTGAAGTTAATGCAATAAATATTGGCTGCTTGAGATCTTCTTCGTAGTTCCTGGATTAAATGCCCTGATGAAGTATCAGATATTCTTATAAGGGTCCCTTTCTCAGATGCAGTTGCAATTCTTGTTCCCTGCAGGTTGAGAGCAATGCAGCTCAGGATGCCCTCGTAGGCTGGAATGTCCACAGGCGGCTTCTCGGTGCTGGCCAGGTCCACGAGCTGCACGTGGCCCATGTGTATGCCCGGGAAGGCCAGGAGGGAGTTGTTACTGTTGGGGCACAGGACGCAGAGGCCTTTAGGATTATAGCAGGTTTCAAAGACATGCAACTGATGGGGATTATGTGTGAACGTAAACACCTTAATCATTGAGTCCAAAACAACCACAATTCGATCTCGCCGCAGCTAGACTGCTTTGACTTCTGTAGAAAATTCTATTTCAGTAACAGTCGTCTTCTTCAGGTCATCCCAGATCATCACTTTGTTGGGGGCGTATTTCGGCTTTTTCCCACCACAGACTAAAGCTAAATAGTTGCAGCGAAATAACATTTCAACATGGCCAACTCCTCCTTCCAGAAATTCTTGTTTCTCTTTTTCTTTTAGCGGATCGGTGTTATAGACTCGGAATCCGTTTTCCATCCCACAGGCAAAGCATCCGTGGTCCTGGTTGAAGCTGGCATAGAGCAGCCCGTTGCCGTGGGGCTTACACGGCAGGAGGTTCATGGCGCCGCCGCGAAGGTCCGCTGCTCCTCAGCAACGCATGCCCTCGGGGAGGCCGGGCGCTGGGGTCCCGTCTGTCCGGCGGTGCGCCGGACTGTTTTGTTTTTTAAGTAAACTGTATATTTGACTTGGGGCTCAAACTCAAAACCCCGCGGTCAAGAATCACAAGCTCTACTGAATAAGCCAGCCAGGCGTCCCAGTAGCCTGCCAGTTTGGACTAAATTTGCATTGCTGCCTCACAGCCTCCTAGGAAAAACTGCGGGGCTTTCTGGTCTTCCTTTGAGGCCTGAATGACATGTGTTTTAGGAGCCTCAATGATGACCCCCAGGAGGGGACAGGTGTGAGGCTCTTGGTGCTTCTGAAAGCAACATGAATTTTTTTCCCTTACTCAAAGGAGACATCACGGATGTCAGCACTGCCGAGGGGGTATTTTCCCATGTCTACAGCCATTTGCTCTGATGTCCACAATTCACTGGGCTAAGGTCACTGGCTGTAAGACCATAGGGGTCAAGGGAAACCGTAATTGGTACAGAAACACTGGCTTAATAGGCAGGGGAGGAGACTGCGGCCAACTATGGAATGTTTCTCTTCTAAAAATGCATCCAGACCAGTTTCTGTGACAGTGACTCTGCAGGATGAGTGTGTACACAAATCAATGTAGCTGAAGTCATTGTCAGATAGAATAATTGAAAGATACTGGTGATTCCTTTAACCCCTCCGTGTTTCCCACCTCAAGATCATTACTGCACAGAGAGGAAAACAAGATATTAAGAGAGGTGAGGGGCGGAATCTATAGTTTGTTGATGTGGCGCTTAAGACCCAGGCAATGTTCCTGTTAACTCCGGTGGAAACGTCCTTCATTGCTCCCTTTAGTTGGAGACACTGAGGCAAGACTGACGCTCAGAGGACATGGGAACAAGGTGGTGCTGTCAGGATAGGGTTGCCAAACCTATTTTTATTTTGAGCCAATTTTTAAAACTTTATAAAAGTTTAATTTATAGATGCTACTAAATTGCATATATTTAAGAATGTAAAATTTGATAAGTTTTGACAGGGATATGAATCTCTGACACCATCATAATCCCGATAATGACCATAGATGTCATGGTATATATTACCTCCTGCCCTATTATAATCTCTCCTTACCCTGCCCACCTCTCCAGGTAACCATTGTACTTTGTTTTACAATGGAAACCATCACATTTTTAATTTATATGTTTGGAATCAAAGTGTTTACTCTTTTTTTTTATTTCCTTTGTGTTTCATAATAACTTTGACTTCTTCAGTGATGTTATACAAGTAGCTCACTTTTCTGTCTAGATAACATCCTTATGTTTGCATATGCCACTGTTACTTTATTTATCTTTTTTATGGGCTTTTAGGTTATTTCTAGATTTTGCCTATTGAAAATAAAGCAGTCACAAACATTTGTCAGTACTTTTATATAGATGTATGCTGTTTTTATTTTTGTCAGTAACTTAATGTTAGCTACCTGAGTCACAGGGTAGATGAGTATTAACTTTTGAAAAAACTGCTGTGCTGTGATCACAATGACTGTTTTTTGCTTTTGGATTCGCATCAGCAGTGGATGAAAAGTCCAATTCTCCCACATCCCTGCCAATACTTGATATGGCCATTCTTTAATTTCAGCTCATGTAATAAGTGTGTAGCACAATCTCAGTGTAGTTTTTTTTTTTTTAAAGATTTTATTTATTTATTTGACAGAGACACAGCG